CTGTTGCGCAGGGGCTGCTGCGCAGGGACTGCTGCGCACGGACTTCTTTGCAAAAACTGTGTGCAAGAATGTGGGACTTCTGTGGAGGGGCTGCTTGCCAGGGTTGTTCTGCGCACCGCTTGGCAGAACTTGCGCCAATGGGACTGGTTGGCTGGTCCTATCTTAGGCTGGTGCCTGGACTGCCTTGTCAGCTGAACCAAAACACATCAGCAAGAACAACAAGTTTTGTGCAGAATCTTGGCATCCACGGCCGATTTTGTGCAGAATGCGATCAGCGCCGCGACAGTTTGTGCAGAATCCCAACAAAATTAGGCGCAAAATGTTGTGCCGACATTCTGTGCTACTCTTGTGCCCGGAGAAGAGCACTTCGGCAAAAACCATTGCCTGATCCCGGCAACATTCAGCACAACAATTTGGCATTCGCAGCCATCCTTGAGCCCACAAAATGGCAGTTAGACACAAAACGATGCCTGATTCTGGCACATTGGCTTCTGCCTAATGCCAATGGTTTTAGGCACAACGAAGACTTGTAAATCCAAAATATCAGCTTTTGTCACTCCAAAACACAAAAAAATGAGGTTTTTTGCTTTTACAAGTCTTTGTTGTGCCTAAAACCATTGGCATTAGGCAGAAGCCAATGTGCCAGAATCAGGCATCGTTTTGTGTCTAACTGCCGTTTTTTTGGCCCAAGAATGGCTGCGAATGTCAGATTGTTGTGCTGAATGTTGCCGGGATCAGGCAATGGTTTTTGCTGAAGTGCTCTTTTCCGGGCACAAGAGTAGCGCAGACTGTCGGCACCAAATTTTGCGCCGAATTTTGTTGGGATTCTGCACAAACTGTCGCGGCGCTGATCGCATTCTGCACAAAATCGGCCGTGGATGCCAAGATTCTGCACAAAACTTGTTGTTCTTGCTGATGTGTTTCTTGGTCTTGTTGGAATTTCAGTTCTGCTGACAAGGCAGTCCTTGCAGAGCAGTTTCTTCAAGGCAACCAGCTGAAGGTAGGACCAGCCAACCAGTCCCATGGGCGCAAGTTCTGCTAAGCGCCCCTTGCAGAACACCCGGCAAACAACCCCCTCCGCAACAGTCCCTGCATCGCACGGTCTTGCACTGCAGTCCCGGCGCATCAGCTTTTGTCAAAGAAGTCTGCGCGCTGCGCAGCAACCCCTTCCCGCGAACAGTGCCTGTACGGCACATGATGTGGAGCAGTACCCTGGCGCGCCAGTCCTTGCAAGGCAGTCCCTGCACGGCACTCCCTGAACAGCACAAAACAGTCCAGGCAAGGCAATCGTTGCAAGGTAGTCCCTGGACAGTCCCTGAGCTGGCGCAGCAGTTCTTGCGCTCAAGTCGCTACCAGCAGTTTCTGCACAACAGTCCAGTACCTGCAAAGCAGTCCTTGCGCAGTCCCTGCCCAGCATCCCTGGCGCACCAGGCCGCAGCAGCCCCTGCGCAGCAGTCCCTCTGCAGCAGTTCCTGCACAGTAGCGCGGCAGCCCCTGCACGGCGGTCAGCCGCGGCAGCCCTGCGCGTATTTGCAATTGCGGACCAAACCGCCCAGCGCCAGCAGAACAGCTCTGCAGAGCAGACCTTGTGAAACAGCCTTGCGTCGAGGCGCTTGCAGGCTGCCTGTAGAGCAGTCCCTGCAAGGTTTCGAAACTGTTGCTGACAGCGGTCTTTGTGAAGCAGTTAAGCGAAGGTTTGCTGACAGACTCGAACCCTACAAGCATATATTCGGAAGGCAGCCTTCGAGTGGCAATCCCGCATCACACGTGTTTGCGCACAGCGCTTCTCAGGTCGCACACTTCTGCTAGCCTTTGGCAACAAGTAGACCCCAAAATCACGTCAAAGGTTCTCTTGTTTTTTTGCAAAGACTTTCAGACGCGCTGCGCGCAACTCACCTAGAGTCGCCGGCACGGCTTGGAACATCTGCCTCTGGCGTTGAGAACGGTCTGCCGTGCATGTTGGATTGACAGGCACCTGCGCGAGCCTTGAGACCTTTGTTGAGCCAGTATGCTTGTGGACAAGGTTGCGAACAACTCCAGCCGGAACAACGTAAGGCCACTTCTGACAATTTCTGCGCGCAAACTGGTTCTGAGGTTAGTTAGTTTGCCTGCGCAAAAATGTTTGCGCTCAAAGCACGGCCGTCCTGAACATACAAGCAGAGCTGCAAGCGTTCTATCATATTCTGGGCTTATTGGGCGCAACGCCGCGCCTCTGCGAAGACACTGCGCGCATTAACCGGCAAGTTTTGCAAGCGGAAGCAGACGTTGAAGCAAGAGCGGCGCCAGCTCAAACACCTGGTCAGACATCAGCCGAGGTCGCTGGGCGAATCTGGCTACAACAGCATTGCACGCGACCCTGTTCCAGAGCAAGCGTGGGGCGACGCCAGATTTTGCCTTTTTGCGGGGCCATGTTGTAATCTTTGTTGAAGCAAGGCGTGGGATGTGTTGGTCCCGACTTTCTTCCTATCAATGCTTTGCTGGTTCAACCACAACCTGAAACCCAGTTGGCTTGAAGCGAGCTGTGGCCACTTTGGCGGCAGATTTGGGCCTCGGCAAGAGCACGGGCGTCCGGACCACATTGTGGAGGGGCCAAACACCACAAGCAAGCTCCACGCACTTAACTTTGCTCAGTAGGAAAATGACAGGCTGACAGGCTGACAGAGGACAGTCGTAGTCTGGGACATATAGTAGTAATCGCGAAGCAGAATAGCGCTCGCAAGACAACAGTCTCTTGCAACCCTGCTTGTGTTTCCCAGCCCCGGCTAGACGGATAACAACAATCTGTGTGTGGGCATTCAGTACTGTTTTAGTGTTGCCTCCTGAAGTTGAGCGGCTGTTGCGGATTGTGCGCGTTGCTGACGCGGCGCTTCAAAATTCAATCGCGCTATTTGCTAAACCAACCCTGCGCAGCCAAACTATTTTGTCCAGCGCGTTGCTGGCCAGCGCGTAGCCGGAAACCTGGAGCGTGACGCGAGTCAATCGCTTGGACGAGCCTACAAGGACAGGCTAGTAGCCGCCGTCCTCGCTAACCCACTTCAAAGGTGCTGAACAACAACCCCGGTTGCGTTTCACAACCCCGATTAGAAGGAAAAAGGCTTCTACTCAGCCACAACCTGCCATCAGACCTACGAATGCCCCTCTACGATTCACTACCACTCAGCCTACGCTTTTCAGAAGCGTTCAACTTCTTTTACTACAACTTGACTTCACCAGACCTCACCACATCGCACACCAACTCCATGGTCATCGTTCGACTTCATCTCCCTCAAGAAATTTTGCTACACTACATCAGCAGCGGCCACCTCATCAACTTTTCTCGTGACTACTTGAGTCACATGGTGTCAATCATTGGCCAACATCACCTACCCACTCGGCAACTACCCCAACGACTTCACAGGATCAACTACGACATGAAACAGATCCCAATACCTTCAACCTGTCCAACAACTACATCTGGAACTACCACATGCCTCTTCACCTTCCTGAACTACTCAGCTACTACGACCAACCACAACAACTACAGGATCACCACTACAAAGCAACCAACACCATCATGCACAAGAGTTCCACGTACTACGGATTCACACTACTCACTGCCACAAATCTTCCCATGCAACACAAACTACTACTGCACAAACTCCTCACTACATTTCAACAACCACTTCCACCTCCAGAGGTCAACTACACTTGTCTTCGAGGAGGCCCTGACTTCCTTACTGCCTTCACTACCAACCACTACGCCAGCCTTGACCACCGCACTGGTCAGCAACAAGGCTACAGAGTCCAGCATTGGACTAAGCACACCTAACTACAGGTGATGCTACATCAGTGAAGCAGCACCACAGCTTCACTACAACTTTGGACCTCCAGGTCCAAACTACATCGGGATGTATCTCATGAACTCCACTCAGTACCACTACTGAGGCCTGAGCAGGAGAGCTACTGAGATCAGCCTGTACATACTACAGCTTTTTTGATCTTTGAGAGTCAGTGGACTACAGCCAGCAGAGTTGTAGTTATACTACTTTCGATCCTTTTGCAGTCAAAACTACTTTGAGCCCTTTGCACTTTTTCCCCCTTCTGGATATGGTTGAAAAGACACTACAGGGTTTTTTAACCAAGGGGCCGTGTCAAATATCATGCTGTACTACTTGTCCCTTGTACATGCATGATGTACACTACTCGACCGCAGGCCTTGAGTCTACAAGCAAGAGAGCGCATGCTGGGAAACTACATTTGTGTTTGTGACAGCATAAACAACACTTGCACTTGTAGTAAAGTAACGACGTATTTTAACGACAGAGAGAGAGAGAGAGAGAGAGAGAGAGACAGAGAGAGAGAGAGAGCGAGACACACACTCACCCAGTCTGCTTGCCCCCAGGGGTCCAAGTTTCGTTCAGGGCGCGCTCCCAAACATTGGTCGGGTCAAAGCACATCAAAACGAAGCAACGACATCCAGCTGCGACAAGCCTCATCATGAAACATATTATTTACACAACTACTAGATGCATCACAACTCTTCATTGCAACAGCCTGGTGAACACATGACTCCAGGCAAGGGTTGTGGATGTCTAAACCGCTTACGAACTGCTGCGCAATAGCAAACAAGTTCATCACAATACACAAACCGCATCAACCATCTGTCATTGTCTCCTGCACCTCGCCTTTCTTTGAAATGGGCACGCCAATCCTCATGATCCAAGTCAGCCTTGCCCTAAGATGACCTGGCAGCCTACTTGGACAAATCAAGTTGTTCTTTGAACTGATGTCTTTTTGCTGGCGAAGGAATGTTGCAAATGCAATGCACTTATCAATTCCCTGCAACAAGGCGAGACAAATGTCAGTGAAACACTAGGAGACTTGCATAGTGTGGCGCCTAGTTGCCCCATTCATGTCATATCTCAAAAGCACTGTGGGGCATTTGGCTAGGCTGCAATTCATGCAATACCAGTTGTGGGATTGTAGGCAGCTCCAAAAACGAGCCCTCGGTCAAGCCAGGCCTGGATCACATAGTCAATGACCTCATCCTGCTCGCACAATGGGGTGCATGGAAATGTCAGATGTCAAAATGTTCGCTCCTCCTAAGTCGATTGCCTTTGCTTCCCTGGTGGGGGCCAAACTGTCACGACAAGGAATGCGCAAGCCATCTCAACATAACCTGCCGAAGCCTCGAGACTAAAGGCGTGCCCAGCGCCAATCATGCACTCAAGCTCCACTCCGCACAGCCCCGAGGATCCTTGCTGGTGAATTTGGAGTACAGCTTGGAGCCCACAGCCACTCCCATGCCCATTGCGTGAACCTGGTCGTCGCCCTCATAGCAGTCCTAGGTGCTGGTGAGTTTTTGACAGCCAAGTCAGGAGCGGTTTGCGTGCGTGCGTGCGTGCGTGCGTGCGTGCGTGCGTGCGTGCGTGCGTGCGTGCGTGCGTGCGTGCGTGCGTGCGTGCGTGCGTGCGTGCGTGCGTGCGTGCGTGCGTGCGTGCGTGCGTGCGTGCGTGCGTGCGTGCGTGCGTGCGTGCGTGCGTGCGTGCGTGCGTGCGTGCGTGCGTGCGTGCGTGCGTGCGTGCGTGCGTGCGTGCGTGCGTGCGTGCGTGCGTGCGTGCGTGCGTGCGTGCGTGCGTGCGTGCGTGCGTGCGTGCGTGCGTGCGTGCGTGGCGTGCGTGCGTGCGTGCGTGCGTGCGTGCGTGCGTGCGTGCGTGCGTGCGTGCGTGCGTGCGTGCGTGCGTGCGTGCGTGCGTGCGTGCGTGCGTGCGTGCGTGCGTGCGTGCGTGCGTGCGTGCGTGCGTGCGTGCGTGCGTGCGTGGGTGGGGTGGGTGGGTGGGTGGGTGGGTGGGTGGGTGGGTGGGTGGGTGGGTGGGTGGGTGGGTGGGTGGGTGGGTGGGTGGGTGGTGGGTGGGTGGGTGGGTGGGTGGGTGGGTGGGTGGGTGGGTGGGTGGGTGGGTGGGTGTGTGTGTGTGTGTGTCTGCGTCTCTGTCTGTGTCTGTGTGTCTGTCTGGGTGTGTGTGTGTGGGCATGTTTGTCGAGGTGTCATCTTTAATTCATGGGTGTGGCTCGGTCAAAGTTAATGTTCACACCCTGAACCACCGAACTGCATATGCGTCTGGCACGGCAGGGTGGGGCCATGTCAGCCCAAGGACGGTCCACAGCTCTGGAAGCTCCAAGGGGCGCTCCACGAGCGCGGCCGCCTGCCGAAGGCCAGGCTTTGAACAGACCAGGCGCTGGTTCAAAGCGCTGAGTGTCACTATGTACCTCCATGGCGCATGAAGCCTCCCCAAGTGCCGCCTGACTGGGCAACTCATGTCCATTCACAGGCCGCCCACACGGCGCCAACACAATGCATTTCTTGACATTTCATGTATCAATGTTGGCCAAGTCATATTCACATACCCCGTTCTGGGAGCGTCACATCACGTGACCAAGGAGCGTCTCTCCCATCTCTCCCCTCTCCCGTCGCCTCGCGGGAAGCGCGCACGGTGAGAAGGCGCTGGCCCTTGGCCAGCTCCACGTCCAGGAAGGCCTCCGAGGTCACGAAAATGCAAACCGAGGTCAGTGTGGCAGCATTTGTTGTTGTTTTTGTTTACCAATGTTCACTGCACTGCTGGGGTTCTCAGAAACAGGGTGTAAACCGAATCGCCCTTGGCAATAAGCCAGAATCCGAGCGTAGCTGTTGGGGTTGGAGGGGGAGTGCCTCCAAGGTCATGAAGCAAGTCGGAGCCAGTGAAGAAATGGAAGCGACTGGCAAAAGTGCAAGCAAGAAGCTGCAGGCGGACTGGGGGCCAGGCTTTGTGGCGATTGACAGGTACGGGGTTGGCACTTTTATAGGAGACGACTGTCCACATTGGAATGCCTTGTGACTCTATCGACGTGCATGGGCCAAGGCCGAATCAGCCTTTTCCGCAAAACTGGAAGTGATTGTCCCAATGCCCTTCGCATAGCACTATGTCCACATATCTCCACCGTGCCAAGAACGTGTCCTTTTTTCTTTCTGGGCCTCCTCCGCAGACTCACTTTGGTTCTGAAAGTCACTGACTCGCAGCACGGCGAGTACCTCCTGCCGCGCCTTCCCATGGCGCAGCACCCCGTGAAGCGTCTTGCCCACTGAGGTGAGAACCGCATGCTCGCTGTCCTGGGCCGCGCTCCCAAAACCCAGAGACGTCCCGCTCCACGGTTCCACGTAGCAACTTGCCTGCTAGCTCTTCTCATTGAACAACAGGGGCACACTAACTTCACGACCTCTTGTAGCATAGGGAACTCTTACACCAGCACAAATGGCAGTCATCAAGAAGTTGGATTGACCAATTCAGAAACACGCACGCACACACACACACACACACAATGACAGAGTGACCTTAACCGGTGATAGGGATTGTGCGAATACCAGTGCCGGTCGCGTCGCTGCTTCTACTTGCACACGTTCAAGATCGTTCAAGTCTTGCAAAGCTTGGACCTGGAACTCACCAAATCACTGGCTCTTCGGCGTCTTTTCGCTGGCCTTGTGCTTTCTTTCGCTTGGCACAAAATGTCCAAAGCACACTTGCAGCATTTGCTGCTGTGCTTGCTGTGCTTACGGCCCTTTTGAAATGTTGGGCTCCAATCGCTGGCTTTGCGCTGTGCACGTGATTGCGGGTGATTCCGTTTGCGGGTTTACGCAAACCTGGCCATGCACCTCAGAACGCTCCCTCACATTGAACGCAGCATAACAAGTGCAGCACTCCGAAAACTCGCTCTCAGCGGGGGAAACTGCCACCCAATTCCACCTCGTTCCGTGGGAACATGCCATCAAAACGAAATGGACCTGCCTGCGACTGAAAAATCCAGGTCGAAGATTGGAGACAACTTCTTGAACATGCTTCCAAACTAGGACCACAATAATTAGGTCGTCTTGGGCAACGAAGCCAAGATTCGAAAACGTGGCGGTTCCGCAAATGGTAGGTCTGCACCCCATCCAGCGTGCCCAGGGTCACTGTGGCATTGCGCGACATCGGCGCCCGTCGCTTCCTGCAAAGGGTGCTGGCGTGGAGTTGGCTGCTGCGTGACAAAGTTGGAAGGATTTCCCAATCCGCAAACACTACAATAGGCATTGTTTCGGACATCGTTGAGCTTTCCCATTTCCGAGAAGAAAACTCTGCCCGACCCCGCGCCGCAGTTGCAAGTCAAAGTCGTGGCCGTGAGCGCTGAAGCGGAGCCGCAGCGCGCTGCTGCGCGCATCGCCCAGGTGCAGTTGGCCTCCCAAGTTGAAATGCCACCCTGGCTGCTCCCAGGTCCCAGCTGACTCACAATACAAGTGAGGATGTGATGGAACATTTTCAAACCTGCATTGTATAACCCAGATTTAGTCAATTGAAATAAAACTCCACTTTTACTGCGGTTTGCAATGGTTTGCACATGTTTTGCTGCTGGAGCGACCTCTTTGCTAGCGTGCAGCCTTGGCCCACAGCCAAGGAACATGGAAGGAAATGAACAAGGATGTCTGCAGATCTCTCTCGGTCCGCAGGACGCACCGTGAGAAATCACCGAATTATCTAACATTCCCTGGAGGGCCAACGAGTATGGCAAACACGAAGCAGAAAACTACGGCGGTGCCTAACGGTTAGAAGCCAATTGAAGCTCACCATCCTTTCGTGTCAAGCCGCGAAGGGTGGAGTGGGGCAGTCCGAGAAGTTAGTACAATGTGCATTCCTTTGCTGGAACACACCCTGCTGCCGGGTTCAGGAGTTCTATTGGAAAAGCTAGCTTGCAAAGTGTTGGCCTGTGTGGAGCTGTAAAGTTGGTACGTAGTGATAAGATTGCTCTTTCTAGTTGGTCTGCAACATGTTGCGTCAACGGAGGTTGCCGCACTTTCAAGACCTTTGCTTCTTCGTTTTGCAAAAACATGTTGTTCCAGTGCTTTTGCGGATGGGCGGCAGCATAATGATACTGTCCCACCTGCTGATCTGCACGCTGACTTGAAGTGAATGAAAAATGCGGTCTTTCGAAGCGCCAGCAACCCCCCTCCCTCGCCCCTATTGACCAAACATGTTGCTTGTGTTTTCTTTCAATTGTACAGAAATTGGGATACATGGAGCACACATGACAGCAGCAACCATGTTGACAATCGAGCAGTTGCCCCGTCTCCCCCGTTCTCTCCCTTTTAAAAAGGGTAGTTTGGCTGTCTATGGGGTAAATGGCTGTGCTACCGCGCATGAGGTTGGCGCTATTCTGCAAGTTCCCATCACAAAAACGCTCCTGCACCAAGCCAAGTCCCAAGCAGCACACACAAACACTCATACCCACAAACACATATACCCACAAACACGCGCACACACACAAACGCACAGACACACAGACACACAGACACACAGACACACAGACGCACAGACACACAGACACACACACACACACACACAGACACACAGACACACACACACACAGACACACACACACACACACACACACACACACACACACACACACACACACACACACACACACACACACACACACACACACACACACACACACACACACACACACACACACACACGCACGCACGCACACACACACACACACACACTGGCCCACACCAAGCGCAGGTCTTGGATCGAGTCAGGTTTTCGTCTGCCATGGCATCCATCGTTTGACAGCTCTGCGCGGCCTCGCTTCTCCAGCAAGGAGGGGTGGGAGTCAAAGAGGTGGTTGCCGTGCTCATCCTCTAGGGTGAAGTCAACCTGCACCTGGGTGCAGCCGGCATGGCAGGTGTAGTTGCTTTGCTGAAAGTGAAGCGCAGAAACTGCTGGCATTGGGAATGCGCAACGATTGCATGAAAACGTGTTTGCTCACACAACGAGCTGGGGGTGGAGACAGGAAGAACGTTCCTTTGCATCTTTCATTCTACTAAACTACCTCGTTGCTGACCTTGCTATTTCTATATACTACATCACCTCGTCGCTTGTGACAATTTGCCCACTTTGATCCCAAACATGACAGTGACCTTTGTTTCTTTGCGCCGCAGCGGGCGGGCATCAAGCGAAATGAAGGTCGGGCCAAGTGCGGCAAAGCTTCGACAGCTAGGTCTTCCGGAGCCGGCACCGATGCTGACCGTAAGCGCGTCCTCAAGGAAAAGACAAAGGCGGATGATTCGGGGGAGTGGTTTTGAGGTTGTCAGTTTAATGGACCCAGTTCCCTGAACATCACGGGCATGACGTGATTGCGCGTACAAAATCGGCGGGTGCAGCCCCTATTGGAAACCCTCGGTGCCTGACATTCGGAAGCGGAACAAACTGCCGGGTCTTGTCCCTTGGCTTCAAAACGGGTGGGCCAGAATCCGCCGGCAGAGTGCCGCCGGCTAATGTTGCCAAGCCACCCGTGCTGCAATTGCATCAAATTCTGGGCGTCCTGATCCCGGTCAACCTGGAAAATTCATGGACAAACTGAGGATGGAATCAAAAGAAGCTCTAGCAAGAGACCCAGACAAATGCAGAGGCACAAGACGTCCACACAGGGATTGAAAGAAAGCAAGAGGGCGAGAGAGGAAAAGAGCAAAAAAGAAACAGAGACAGACAGAGAGAAAGAGTGAGAGAGAGAGAGAGTGAGAGAGTGAGTGAGTGAGTGAGTGAGTGAGTGAGTGAGTGAGTGAGTGAGTGAGTGAGTGAGTGAGTGAGTGAGTGAGTGAGTGAGTGAGTGAGTGAGTGAGTGAGTGAGTGAGTGAGTGAGTGAGTGAGTGAGTGAGTGAGTGAGTGAGTGAGTGAGTGAGTGAGTGAGTGAGTGAGTGAGTGAGTGAGTGAGTGAGTGAGTGAGTGAGTGAGTGAGTGAGTGAGTGAGTGAGTGAGTGAGTGAGTGAGTGAGTGAGTGAGTGAGTGAGTGAGTGAGTGAGTGAGTGAGTGAGTGAGTGAGTGAGTGAGTGAGTGAGTGAGTGAGTGAGTGAGTGAGTGAGTGAGTGAGTGAGTGAGTGAGTGTGAGTGAGTGAGTGAGTGAGTGAGTGAGTGAGTGAGTGAGTGAGTGAGTGAGTGAGTGAGTGAGTGAGTGAGTGAGTGAGTGAGTGAGTGAGTGAGTGAGTGAGTGAGTCAGTGAGTCAGTGAGTCAGTGAGTCAGTGAGTGAGTGAGTCAGTGAGTGCTTGAGTGAGGGAGGGAGTGAGGGAGGGAGGGAGGGAGGGAGTGAGACAAAAATAGACAGCCCCAGAAAGAGACAGAAAAACAAACAGATACAACCAGACTGACAGAGACTAACAGGGATAGAGTGACAGGCATACAACACAAGGACAGCCAGGAAGGCAGGAACAACAAACGACATGCAGGCAGTCTGCCTGCAAGTGAAAGTAACAAATGCAAATCCACAACACAAAGGCTAGCAAAGTCACCCCAACATGCCATTTGGAATCCAACCACTGCAAGGACGTCCTGCTTGTTGGCCTCTCCCACTCCCTGTTCAGAAATGGAACAAGGGAGCCTCTAAGCCTCAGAAGGAAGTCGCAACGCGTGGCTTGCCTTGTGATTCCCCAAAACTACTGCCAGTGGCACTGCTTCACCTAGGGCACCGCGCGCATTGGTCGGCGCATGCTGCCGCCGCCAAACCAAGGATCCATGCCCTGGCAGTTGCACTGCATGGCACTGTCCTTCTTTTTACTGGCTGGCCGGGTGCAGGCCGGCACAAGCGGCTCATGCCAGCCGAAACCTGGGTGTCGGAGAAGGGGGGGGGGCAGGAATGTTCATGCGATGCGTCACTGCGTCCCAAGGAAAGCGCTTTGCATGTGGACATGCAAGTGCAGCGTGGCCATATCCTGGCCAAACCTTGTCAAAAACTGATTCCTTTCAAGAAGTCAAATATATAAAACGGCCACCTTATATTTTTAGCAATGTTGTTTTTGTTCGCGGCAACTCTACTTGTTGCCTAACTTCATAGTTACCCAGCGTGCGCCCGTAGCCGGTTCAGAGGGCGACACCTGATGAAGCATGGGTTCAGGCCATGTGGACACAATTTTTGGGTTTCCCTGCTTTCATACCCCTTGCACAGCCACACAAAAAGCTGACTCAAGCTGTTGATTCAACTACATCCTCCCAGTGCCTCGTCCGCATGGGCCAGCCCAATGAGGTTCCAAAGGCTTGACCCACAAAAACTTAAACGCGGCGGAGGCAAAGTCATGAAAACATGCCTCGCCTCTTCAACATCTGAGCCTTCTCAGCACTCAGGATTCCTGTGCTGGGAGGCTGGACCTGTGGGTGTTTCTTCTCTTTTTTAGGCTTGGGCATTTTGAGTCTGGTCACATTTCCCTGGGCCATGTGAGAGAGGCCCAACTCTGAGTTCGGAAGAGGCATGGAACACGAGCCAATCAACACGTGCCTTGCCGAGCCGTCTAACTCACACCAACTTTAGCAAGCAATGGAACCAATAGGAACAGCCACGGACTCTTAAAGTCTTACCTCAAGCATGTCCGATGGGCCCATACCTTTCCACTGTGGCCACGGCATCCATCTTGGGAAAAACAGTGCTCAGTCTGGTGGGCGGAACTTCCACCACGGAGGTCCTGGCAGAAAGCTCAGCTCTTCTGCATCTCTTTGTCCCTCAGCCAAACCACCCAGGACCCACTCCCAGCAAACTCCTTCACTCAAACTCTCCTGTACAGGGTGCGACCCTTCCGTGGTGAGCCCAGTTTGCATTTGCTTGCCGACCCCCTTTTTCAAAGGCGCAAGAACGCAAGGTCACCGTCAAGCCCCTGAAAAATCTGCCGCAGTTCTGTTGTGCAGAAGTCTGATCTTGACACGTGCGGCCCCTGCGGTTTTGCCCGTTCCCAACAATGGCCGATGCCGGATTCTACAAACGCACTCTGAAAGCTTCCCTGCCCTGCACGCTCGACGTCTGAAGGACTCTGACAATCTCTGACAGCAAAACAGAAATGGTACAGCACCGAAGGCGAACAAACACGGCGTTCACGCGCTTACCCTACACTCAAATGCGTCGAATTTCAAGCGGCGGTCTTCTTGGAAGTTGTGTGCTCTGGTTGGGGCCTGAAAAAATGGAACCTTACAAGTGGCCACCGTGTAAGCCTGCCCGCCTGAGAGCGCACAAGCACGCAGCATGGAAGAAAAGGCAGCATAGCAGCAGGTAGGCCCTTTTGCAGGGTAACCGGTCATGAAACCACCTCGCACTTGCGCTTCCGCGTGCAAAACGCTTGCGCGGAACTTGCGCGAAATCTGACGAGTCAAAACAGCGAAGAATGTGTATGTCTTTGGAGCAACCAACACCCCCATCATAGTTCAAAAGCACTGATGCTGGCACAGATGCTTCGAGCCATCAACTGTTCGGGATGCAAATCCGAATTGAGCGAATCTTGTGAACACTGCAGTTTTGACTTGCGCGGCCACACGCTTTTCAAACTTGACATGCCGAATTCCAAGCGGCATCCTACTTTCCCGAAGACTAACCAAAACCCTTGGATAAGTATCCTCCGATTCTTGTTTGACTCAGCCTGGTGCTGTAGTGGCTGTAGCGTGTGGTAGCACTGCTCAGGCGCTATGTTTGCTTGTTTGCTTGCTTGCTTGCGCGGTTGTTTGTTCCATGCCATGCGGTGAATTCCCCCACCCCCACCCCCCCACCGACTGGAGATGCCCAATCTGAAGGGCCGAGCCCAATCTATAATAAGGCCTTCAAGGAAACAAGCACGTCCTGCCCCAAACCAACGAACCGATCAAAATGACTTTCGAGCACCAGGGGTGACCAATCAAATTTTGATCAAACCTTGTCGACCCTCGAGGAAAATGCCAATCATAGGCAACACTGCCCTCCGCCTGACTCACCCATCAGTGCGGCAGATCGGTCCACCTATCCCGCTAGTTCCGCATGTCCCATCCTCTTCCGGTTGTAATCTCGCGAATGTCGAGGGAGATCTTCGTCCTCTGATGACTTGAGGGCCTCGCACCAAGCCGGCGGAAGGCATTTTCCAAGGAGAGATGATTCAGAATGAGTGTACCGCCATGGATTTAAACAGAGTTTGGCCTAGCGTGGGCTCCCGGTCAGTATTCAAGAGGAAGCTTCAGTTGGTTGAGGGTGGGATGAGGGTGGGTGAAAGGTTGGTCACGGGGGCTTGCGTAGCGGCAGTCGGGTTTGCGTTGCCAGGTTGCTCTTGAGATAGTTTATGGTGCGCAATAGCTTGGTTTAGGTAAATAGCAGGTTGTTGAGGTTTTAGGCTGACCAAACAACAAGGCCTGCCGAGCCCAGAAAACTCAGGGCCCCCAAACCCATCTGCCAAACAAACAGTCTATGAAGCAAAGGGTGTTGGCTGAAAATCGACTGCTGTTCAAATGGCCCATCGCTGAGGTCAAATGGCCCAAAGAATCAAAGGCACCCAAATGGTTTTTTTCTTGACGGTACCCTTTTTGGGGGTGATGTTTAAGGGGAACAAATGTTTCTTCCCTGCTTAAAACAATCTGTCAGTCAGCTTCCCTCCAATTGGTAGTTTGGTGGTGAAGGGGTGGTAAGGGGAACAGAAGGAAAGCAACCAGCTTTGACAGTCTCAACCCAATCTATTTTGAGACAAACCCGCGCTGTCCCACTTTGGACCCGCGACCTCACGGATTCCACGGCCTTGCGGTCGACAGGTATTGTGATGGCCGTCGGGCCTGGGCGTTCCCTGTTCACCGATTGGGCATGGGCGCACGCGCGTCTTATTTGGGGAAGCTTGTGTTTGGTTGGCTTTAAACGGAAGTCAAGAGGAACCCAAGCATTTCAGGGGTTCCCTAATTTGAGGCAAACCCACATGTGCCTTCTTGTTGAGGGTGCCCTTGCTTGGTGGGTTTAAAGGGACAACAAACGGAAAGCCACTATTTTGGGGGGGGGGGGCTTCCTTAGAAAAGACACATCCACATGGCCGAGCCAACGGCGATGGGTGTGCATCTGTCCTGGCACGGGCTGTTTGCCAGGCTTTTGGCACCAGTCCAAAGCCAACCCCATCCAAACGGTGCATGGCGTGAACCACAGCCCCGGGTCCTGCCATACAAATATCCGAACAGACCAGAGTCCGCAGGGTGGGATGTGGGGGCCTTGCGGAAATTTGCCTGGGTCAGCTGGGCAACTGCTTCTTTGCCGGGCGGTAAAGGCCTTGAGCCAAATGTGTCTAAGTTATGCTCATCTAGCACATTCCAGCCACGTGTGAACCGCGCATGACATAATCCAGCTGCTGAGTGCCATATCAAGGTGGATCTAGGTGTCTTGGGATTGCCTCAGCCAGTGAAGGGCTCATGCACTCAGCCTGACAGATTAAGCGCCAAGGCTTGTTTGATTGCAACTAAGCCAAACTGTTTTGACGCGCAACATGACCTTGGCACTTGGTCACCCCTGTCGTTTGCACACACACCCTTTCTGAGAGGGCCACTAGTCAATGTGCCTCTGTGGAAGCTGCGCATACATGCAAACCTGCACACCCATCTGCCCGCCCACGCACGCACTCACTCGCTCTGGATTCATCATGCGCCGGCACATGCACACACTTGTTACTCCGCATGCAGACCTCACCTGGACGTTCTGGCCAGGTTTGCGCTGCGCCAAATTGGAGATACTCTTGTACGTCTACAGGCGCTTCCACAAAAAGGAGTGCAAGAAGGCAAGCGTAAATGTATGCTCTGAACTGCTGGTTGTTCTCTAAAATAATTCCTGAGAATACCAAGTCCAGACTCCTACAAAGTGCACATATTGGCTTAGGCATAGGTTTTGCAGCAACCCTAGCGACATCTCTCTGCAACTGCTCTAGCTGGCGGCCCGTGATTAGGGCGCCCACCTACTTGAAAGACAACTAGGCAAAACCTTGCCCGATTGGGCCACCCGCTCCAGCGGATGTAGGAAATCGAGCATCCGTTCGTGGGATAAGTCATCATACGTCATCAACACGTTCCCCCTACCATCGCTCCTTGGAGTCTGGCAATGCGGCATTTGTGCCAACACTGACAGCCTCTTTCACACTGGGCTCCTTCACTCCATCCAAGTCTCCGGATGCCAGTCAGACTCCTTTCTGAACATCTTTGGCCCACAGCCCTATCACTTGCTCCGCTTCGCCGCACCTGGGGCGTCAGACAAACCAGTTCAACGATCACGGGCAAAGAACGCAGCCACACACAAACACAAGCACGATGCCCCTCGCGGTTGGGCTCAGAGCGCTCCCGCTCTCAAGTTACACTTGCCGCACCCTGAAAGCATGATTTCAGTACAGAACATGTGCCCATATCCAAAGCCTTGACATATATATATATATATATATAATAGCTACATGCATGTATATATTTATCTATGTCCGTGTATGTACGTGTGTATGTGTGTGTATGCATGTATGTATGTATGTATGTATGCATGCATGCATGTAGGTATGTATGCGCTATATGTATGTGTGCGTATAGTATGTTGACTTGTTTTAATGGCAATATGACTCTATTGGAGCCCCTCTTGTCCCACGCATTCCTTCACCATGCCTCAGGCCCCCGGGCGCTCTGCGGAGGGCATCTCGTTGGCAACTCGGAAGGCCACCTATCCATGAGGTGTAAGGACTGCTGAACGAGTCGTTTGGAACCGGGGCTGTCCGCGGTGCACCAGCTCGCATGCACCTGGAATAGGTGTCCACACAGCGAGACCACGGAGTGAACATGAAGCTGTCCGTGTCTGATGTTTTGTGATCTGTTGGGGGTGTTCGCAAAAAGCCACGGCCCCAGACTCGAAAAATGTCACACTGTAATGACGTGCAAATGTCTACAAGTATGCACATGTGAATACAGCCAACCGCCTATAATTACCCACATATGCATGGACATTGGCCAATGAATAAGCGTGACTGTTTGCATGTGTATGTGTGTGTGGCATGCCTTCATTGTTCCAATGTGAGCAAATCAGGCTACTTGCATATGGACATTTCTCCAAAGGCAACCGAGCGAAAGAGCGATCTGATTCATGATACTTGTCCTGTCGCAGGCGGATCTAGGGTCAGGAATGCGTTTCCCTGGCCAAGCTATCTTCTAGATAGCGAACTTTCAAGCGTTTGGCCACAATCAAAAAGTAGATGGTGCCTCGATGGACTGGGAGTAATTCATCCGCGGGTCGCAGTAGGTCTCGTAGTTTTTGGTCAGCCTCGCGGCTGTCCCCGGTGCACTTCAGACAGCCAAACTTGACATGCTGCAGGCCGCAACGACTCGAACACACCGCGGATGGGCGAAGTGACCAAGATGCAGCTCAATAAGATGAAATGCCAACCCCCGAGCCATGCACTCTGTTGCACGAGACCCCTAGATTGAGCCCATCCTACTAGGGGGGGGGAGGGTCACGCATAGTAAAGGAGTCCCACGAAAAGAGGACACCCCACGAAAAGAGGACAGCCCCCTAAGAATAAACCAAAGTTTCGTCATTTGGGATTCCCAGCAGTACGCAGTCCAGGGTTCCACTCTACGTGCTTTGCCGGCTGGGAGCCCACGCATCTCCTCGGTGAGCCCTGCAGAGCCTCCAACCTCAACGCCCAAGGAGGTAGTGGAACCCGTTGCTGGACGAGTCAGGGCGAAACGGTCCCTTTCTGCCAGGGATGACCGTGTTGTGAATAGAGTGCGCAGCCAGCTAAACAACAACACCCGCTCTTTCAAACCAGAGCTAGCCCAGATCTCGACGTCTTGGCTTGGGCCCAAGGTCGCCCGAATTGAAGAAACACCGCACGCAAACCTCTCTCATGACTTTTCCGGTTGCAGGTGCTCTCTGGCTTGGCCCCTCACCACCTCCGTAACGTCACAGCCAGAGACCTCGCCACAGCCAGCCCAGCTGTCTAGCCCATGAGAACACAGGACAGGGAACACTTGGAGGGGTCTTTTTTTGGGGATACCCTTTGTTTGGTGGTCGTGAAGGACAACCAGGAGGAAAAACACAATTTAGGGGGTCCCCTCAAAAAAGACATACCCAATTGTGCTGCCTGGGTGGCCACGAAGCCGACCGAGGTGAAGCCTCCCGCCTCCAGGTGGATGCCGCCCAAAATTGAGCCACACTTCTTGTGGATCGCCATCACCTGCTCGGGACCAAGAAAACGATGGGCGGCTGGCTGAATTTGGAGCTGCAAATTGTCTGTGCGCAGAATATTGGCGACCAACCACTCTGCTCGTTCTTCAAAACGAGGGCAAGCAAGACTGCGTTTGCCAAGGTGGCACAGAAAACAAAAGGATTTTTCCCAATGGCGAAAAGCCACAACTCAAGGCCTGTAAGAACTGCAGCTGCTCGTGCCTTTTCTGCTCAAGCTGGATGTGGAACGGACAGTTTCAACCGACAAGCACCAACTCCAGTCTGAGCCGAAGCTACAACCTACAGACTACGCTCGAATTACAAGAGCCCCAAGCATCTCGTGTTTCACATGTCTGCTTGCGTGTCCTGGGGCAATAACGATAGCTTGGCACTCCGGTCGCTCCGGAATCAGCGTTGCGGAGGGAGGCCACCAGGCAACTGATTTCCCCACCCAGGCCTAACGGCGTACCCCTGGCCATCCCGACGTGGCATCATGATAAGGATTCTTGACATTCATCTTGAATAAAGTGCGGGAAACCCAACGAGCAAAGAGAGAATTCCTTTAGACACATTGCAACCCGCCAGGAAACTTGCCCCACGCCACATCCCATGAATTTGGACGACCCCAGCCCCACCCGCTTAGCCCATGCCCAATGTACGAAACTGCATGGCACACCACATCAAGGCTTGCATGTTTATGTCTCGGCTGCCTTGTCCGGCTAGCTCGCGCCCATGCATTTCACACTAGCTTCAAGCTCTTTCAGTCGTTTCCTCTTTTGGACGTTTTCAGTTATGTGCTTCCCCAACTTCGCAGATGTGGCCAGGAGAAGCTTTCTATGTTCCAGATCCTCGTGAACTACCGGTTGCTAATACACTTCGCTTATCTAATGCTGCTGTATCTCCACGAAAAGCTCTTTCATGACGAAATGTCATTCATCATGATATATTATTTTCTTCACTTTCTGGTCGTTCCTTTTAACTTCCCTGATTGAAAATTTGCAGTTACGGATTTCGCTTTCTCGCAGCCCGCGCTCCCCTTCATGTGCGTTGTGCCGTGCAGCCCTGAAAACTCTGAATCAACTCGATGAGCCGGCCCTAACTTAACACACCAAGCCTTGCGCAAATAACTTACAGACTTCAAACTGCCACGGCGGACTAGCAACTAGTCGGCCACGGTTGCGCCAGTCGCCTGCCGTCGGCAAGACCTCAAGCGCAAAAAGCGCAATGTTTACGCGTTTTTGGTCCAGCAGCATCCCCACTACTTGCGCAGCTCTGCTGCCAATGCCCCAAGCGCAAATTCATAAGTCCTTTGCTTCAGACGCACTTTGACATGTGACCCCTGGAGCGTTGGAGCCGTGCGAGGCAACTGCTTAGGGAGCCAGGACTTCCGCTCAATGGACTGCGTTCCGCAGACAACTTTCTGGACGCTGTCACAGCACCAATGTGCCTTGTAAACTCTTTGCGTTGCCGATTGACTTGGCAACGGCGAGCATTGGGCCCCATGGCTGTAGACGTTAGCCTTCCTTCTTGTACACGCGGCCCACGCGGATTATCATTCCAGGACCCAACCGGTGGAGGAGAGCCAGGGAGCCCAACGTGAGAAGGGCCGCCGCCTGCGCACAAAGGGCAGGGTGTCGTCAGAACCCGCCGCCGCAGAGAGCACCTGTGTTGCAGGTTTGCGGGGCAGAAAGTCGCGCAAGGGGGCTGAAAAAGGACATAACTCAAGGGCAAAGCTATGACCGAGGGGTCAGCCAACATGCTGACAGCTGGGAGGTATGCAGTTGACAGCCGAACGTTATTACCCGTCTTCCTACCAGGCGACCACAGCTGTCTTTTCTTTGCAGGCACATCTGTGACGATTTCACAACATTTCGCATTTCCCAGGCATCGCAAAGCTGCAAGTGGTGTTCTGGCATGAGCTTCAACATGTCAGAGGGCGCCAAATAGCTTCACCCAAAAACGCCCTCATCCTGTCTAAATGCAGTCAGGTGTGACTCGATGACTCGAATGCAAAAATGTCCAGCTGGTTGACCCTGAGCCGGCATTCCTCCCTCGCGCGAAGGCTTGAATATTCGGGCATGACTCAGAGAGAAGCAAGTCAGCCGTCGGCCAAAAATCAGGAGCAGAGCGGAACAGGATTCTTCGAGTCATTCCACTACATCCGGCTTTCGAGAATGGGCCTACGTGCGCGCCTCAAGCGGGCCGGTGATGGCAAATGAGGCTTGCACCCCTCCAAGCACGCAACATACGTCTACTTTCACCCCGTAGATTCATAGGGCCCTGGTTCAAGAAAAGGCACCCTTCTCAGTGCATGCAGTTGGAGCAAAGGTGACACTCGACTTCTTCGACCGGCCTGGTCTTATTTATGCTTCATCTCTTTTTCGTGAGCCTGGGGCACCGAGGAGTTAATGGTTCGCTTTGGGCATGCAGCCTAGGCATCGCTTTCCTCATGGAACATGCAATTTCGACTGGAACTGCAATTTCATACGAGAACTTTGCAGCAACCTGGAAGGGGCACCATAGCGGCAGGGAGGTACTAAAGCCTTTTTCACGCAAGGGCCGCAATGAAGATGTTTGAGGTTGTCTATGAAGAATTGGGCCATCTACTTTCAGGAATTTCACCAACTGCTCTCGTTTTGCCAGACTCGAGTGCCGCCACCGGCTCGCCCAAACTCGAGGTCTCGCACCCGGCTCCACCGGGCACGGCACGAAGGCCGCAAAGCGGCCCGTGATTTGCGAGCCAATCGGAAGCAAAGCAAATAGTGGTGTCGTTTTTGAGGCTAGCCTTTTTGGTGGTTGTCAAGGTAAACCAGAAGGAACACCACATTTTTGGGGCTCCCGGAAAAAACAAACAAACACAAATCCGAACTTGACCCTTCTCGCACCCCATCCGCGAACCTTCTGACAGCAGGTTGGCACACATGTCATGCAAGCCAGGCCCCCCAAAACTAAGGGAAACGCGAATGTGACTGGACCTGCTGCAAGTTTGATTGGGAGGCACTTCTTGATTGACCCTTGGGCAGCTTGCCACAAAGTGCCCATGAAAGAAGTTGACTTGCTTCACTGCTCGACTGGCCGCTCCAAAAAACCACGGATCCCGAGACCCTGGGCAGTTTCAGACCCGGCGAACGAGGGAGAAAGCCACCCTCCCGCGCACCTAGCCGTTGCAGACGTGCTTGGCAGCTAAGCCAACCAAACCGAACGCACGGGATCAAAGCCTGGTGGGCGTTCCCAAATCGCCCTGCGACAAGTTTGACGCCCTGTAAAGCTGAGGCGGCACGGGCCACCAAGAAAAGGGCGGCTGCGCAAGTCAGAATTCTCAATATGGGATATGAAACAAGAAACAACTATCCACACACCCACTTGTTCTTGCATTTGTCAACGTCTCGCCAAGCCCTTGTCAAATCTAGAGCATCTTTACACGCTATGCAAGGTTGCTGCGCTGCGCGCGCAAAGCGCTTAAACGAACCTGTCTGGACCTGTGCGGACCTTCACGTTGTGGCAAAAAGCAAGTCTATGCAGGGTAGCCAGGTCTGGTCCACGTCGAAGGTCCGCACCGCACCGTTGACACGCCCTTCCGTCCCCAGCGGAATCAGTCCAGAATTGACGGGGAAGCTGGAAGGCTGAACAGAAGTACAGCAGAGCAAGGCTTTCCCCGACCGCGAGAAACCGCCACTCACCAAAACGGACCATCTAACGTGGCGTTGCGAAAAACACAGCCTGCTCAAGGAAGAAGCTGGTTGCCCTCCTGCTGGTCAATGGCCCGGCTGGATCGATGCCTCTGTCAAATCCCACTTGGCGCTGCCCAAGCCGGCGAGTGCTGCACTTGTCTTATCACGAGCCAATTTCCCTTGCGGAACACGCTCACGTTCTGCGATCCAAGCAAGCTGTTCTCCCTTGGCTCTGGCTTCGCACAAGCTGGCAACATGCAAATTGAAGGGGTCCCTTGCTACAAGCAAATGGCTGCCCCAGCATCCATGAAGCCCTCCACGATTACGTGACAGAACAGGATGCTATCTCTTTGTTCATTTCTGTGCCAGGCTGTGACCCTAACCAGCTCTTGGCCCCTGCAATTAAAAGTCGCAACGAGTTCCCCCCGTGACTCGTTGAACTGACAAAACAGCTGGCTTCCGTCTTCAATGGCAGTTTTTCAAGGGCTGCAACTCTGTCAATTTCTTGGAAAGCAGCAAATCGAGGATCTGTCTGATGGGCATTTCCTTTGCACTAGACTCAGCCAGGGTCTGCGCGTCAAGCAGAATGCATCGTCAGCGCAGCAAGAGCTGCTCCTTTGCAACTCTGATTATGAAACCCGTGCACTTCTCCGACCCTGCCAAGTGGGAGCAAAGCAATCAGCCAGTCAGACCAGGCAGCAAGCAAGCAAAAGCAAGCAAAAGCAAAAGCGAGCAAAGGCAAGAACGCAAAAGCAAGCAAACAAGCAGAAGCAAGCACGCAAAGGCAAGCAAGCAAAAGCAAGCAAAGGCAAGCAAGCCCAACCTAACCCAACCCAACCCAACCCAACCCATCCAGCCCATCCAACAGCCAGCATCAGTTTGAGGCAACCCGTTCCGACCCAACCCAAGCCGTCCAGCCCAATGAAACAACCATCCTGAGAAGTCATCAGCCGAAGAAATCGACCAACCCAATCATGGGCACAACCTAGGGAATGTTGCCACTTCTCGCGTGGCTTGAAAGTGGAGTGATTATTGTAAAGGGCAGAAAGCTTCAACCCCGCTGTGATGCGAACTGCCAAACAGTAGCGGAAGCGCATGCTACTCGCCACAGCCTACAATGGTGGCTCTGCAGAGAAAGAGTGTAAGGCAGCATCAATATCTTCAGGAAGTTGCAAGACGGCGAAACGCCGACAGTGTGTCAGTAATGTTAGCCCCACGTTTCTCTGTTGCGCTCCTATTGTAGAAAGTGTTTGTTCCAATTCACAAAACAACTGGCAAGCTTCTTCCGTGGGGGAAGGGGTGAAGTTTCCAGGTCAAAGCCTTTGCCTTTTACTTTTAA